AGAAAATTAGCCGGGCATGGTGGCACATGCCTGTAGTCCCAGCTACTCGGGAGGCTGAGGCAGCAGAATCGCTTGAGCCCAGGAGTTTGAGTTGCTGTGAGCTAGGCTGATGCCATGGCACTCACTCTAGCCTGGGTAACAAAGTGAGACTCTGTCTCAAAAAAAAAAAAAATTCCAAACATTCAAGAATTGAAAGAATTTTACAGTAAAGACTCATACACTCATCACCTAAGTGATTAACATTTTTCTATTGCCATGCTTTTTACATGGTAACCCAACTATCCATCCCTGTATCCATTTTATTCTTTCTTTTCTTTTCCTTTTCATTTCGTTTCAAGACAGAGTCTCACTCTGCCGCCCACTGGCCTCATTATAGCTCACTGCAACCTCAAACTCCTGGGCTCAATTGATCCTCCTGCCTCAGCCTCCTTGGTAGCTGGGACTACAGGCACACACCACCATGCCTCGCTAATTTTTTGTTGGCTAATTTTTTCTATTTTTAGTTGCCTAGCTAGTTTTTTCTATTTTTAATAGAGACAGGGACTCACTCTTGCTCAGGCTGGTCTCGAACTCCTGAGCTCAAGCGATCCTCCAGCCTCAGCCTCCCAGAGTGCTAGGATTACAGGCATGAGCCACTGCACCTGGCCCGATCAAGAGTCTTGAACAAACATTTACAATTTGATGGGCAATAAAACAATTTGAAAGCAAAGCATCTGTGTATTTTTATAATGAATGGCAGGAAAAACAACATGATATCAGCCATTTATGATGGAACAGTTTTAGTCTTACTTGAAAGTTTGTTTCAATCTGATTAGTTAACCAAATTTATTGTTTAGCTCCATCTTCTTAAGTCTTCTCCATCCTTAATCCAGAGAAGTGATTTAGAACATAGTACCTGAAGGAACAAAAGTATTTTTTGGTTCAGATGAAATGCTTTATAGTATTTTGTTATTTATAGTTAATACTCTATTTAAAAGGAGAATCAAAAGAAGACCCACATATGGCCAACAGGTACCTGAAAAAATGCTCAATATCGCTAATCATCAGAGAATACAAATCAAAACCACATGAGAGGCCAGGCGCGGTGGCTCACGCCTGTAATCCTAGCTCTCTGGGAGGCCCAGGCGAGAGGATTGTTCAAGGTCAGGAGTTTGAAACCAGCCTGAGCAACAGTGAGACCTCGTCTCTACTAAAAATAGAAAGAAATTAATTGGCCAATTAAAAATACATAGAGAAAAAATTAGCTGGGCACAGTGGTGCATACCCTGTAGTCCCAGCTACTTGGGATGCTGAGGCAGAAGGATCGCTTGAGCCTGGGAGTTTGAGGTTGCTGTGAACTAGGCTGATGCCATGGCACTCTAGTCTGGGCAACAGAGTGAGACTCTGTCTCAAAAAAATAAAAAATAAAAAACCACATGAGATAACCATTTTACTCCAGTTAGAATGGCTGTGATTAAAAATCCAAAAAAATAACAGATGCTGTCAAGGATTTGGAGAAAAGAGAACTCATATACTGTTGGTGGAAATGTAAATTAGCACAGCCACTATGGAGAACAGTATGGAGATTTTTCAAAAAACTGAAAATAGAACTACCATAGTATCCAGGAATTCCAGTACTGGGTATTTATGCAAAGAAGAAACCAGTATATCAAAAAGATATCTGCAGCCCCACGTTATTGCAGTGCCATTCACAATAACAAGGATATGGAATCAACCTAAGTGTTTATCAGTGGACAAATGGATAAAGAAAATGTTGTATTTATACACAATGGAATGCTATTCAGCCATAAAAAAAAACAGTGAAATCATGTCTTGTAGCAACATGGATGGAAATGGAGGTCATCTTGTTAAGTGAACTAAGCCAGACACAGAAAGCCAAATATCACATGTCCTCACTCAGGGAGCTAAAATTTATTTCATGGAGGTGGAGTAGGATTATAGATACCAGAGACTAAGAAGAGTGTTGCGGGAGAGGGGGAGGGAATGAAGAGAAGTTGGTTAATGGGTACAAACATACAGTTAGATGGAAGGAATAAGTTCTAAAGTTTGACAGAAGAATTGGGTGAGTGTAGTTAACATTTTGCATACTTACGAGATAGCTAGAAGAGAGGATTTGAAATGTTTCCAACACAAGAAAATATTTGAAGGGATGGATACCCTTAAGACCCTGACTTGATCATTACACATTCTATGCATATACTATGCATGTTACAAAATGTCATATGTACCCCATAAATATGTACAAATATGTATCAATAAAATAAATGTTTCAAAATTTTTTAAAAAATAGAAAGGGACTTATTTCTGAGGGTATATATTTCCTTACCCTATTTCTGCACTATTTACCACAGTGAGGGCAGTAAGGCACTTCCAGGACTCAAAGTTATACAATAAGTATATAGTTGTTAAGAGGTAAGATCAGCAGAAATCAGACTAAAAGCCAGAAAGTATTCTTGGTGAAAACAGCAAGAGTAGGCCAGAAAATATAAAGAAATCTTAACTGAAAAGGCGCTAGCGTTATTAACAATGAGTAAAATTATTGAGCAAAAAGGGGAGGCTTGGCCTGTGCTATGGCAGTCAGGAGAGCCAAGCAAGGAGTGGCCCCAGGACCAGGCTGACAGCAGAGACCTGGCAGGCCTTGTTTGTTCTCTCCAGCCACCAGCCCCATAGCAAACAGTGTTCTGGTGTCCTGCATGATTGCAGGAATATTCCAAATGTGGGGATGAAGGCATATGATACATATAGCCCAATGCTACCAGCTATTAAGATGATCCATCTTGACTAAAAAGTAAAGAGGAAGATGTTGAATCTAGGAAGCAGAGGATACAACCCAGGACAACAGGAAGCGGGGACCCTGGAAGACAGCCAAGGCCCAGTCCAGTTTGGAGAGGGGACTGAGGGCTCCAGGAGGGAGCTTTCCCAGGGAAAAAAATTAGGATTTAACAATTGATGCTATCCTTGGTACTTTGAAACAACTTAAAGCAGAAATGGGCTGGACCTATAGGCTCACACCTATAATCCTAGCACTTTGGAAGGCTGAGGCAGGAGGATCACTTAACGCCACTTAAGTTCAAGACTAGCCTGCACAATAGCAAGACCCCATCTTTACAAAGAATACAAAAATTAGCCAAGCATGGTGGCATATCCCTGTAGGCCCAGCTTCTTGGGATGCTGAGGTGGGAGGATTGGTTGAGCCCAGGAGTTGGAGGCTGCCATGAGCTAAGATTATGCCACACTGCACTCCAGCCTGGGCAACAGCAAGACTGTCTATTAAAAAAATTAAAATTAAAAAATAAAATAAAGGCTGGGTGCAGTGGCTCACACCTGTAATCCTAGCACTCTAGGAGGCTGATGTGAGAGGATCACTTGAGTTCAGGAGTTGGAGACCAGCCTGAGCAAGAGCGAGACCCCCATCTCTACCAAAAATAGAAAGAAATTAGCTGGACAACTAAAAATATATAGACAAAATTAGCCGGGCATGGTGGTGCATACCTGTAGTCCAAGCTACTCGGGAGGCTGAGGCAGCAGGATCACTAGAGCCCAGGAGTTTGAGGTTGCTGTGAGCTAGGCTGACGCCACAGCACTCTAGCCCCGGCAAAAGAGTGAGACTCTGATTCAAAAAAATCAAACAAATAAACAAACAAACAAACAAACCTATGTACATTAGTTTGGCAAAAATTACAACGTGATTTAAAATTTCCCCATTCTGAATCTATCCTCACTAAGCACGTTCCTTAGCCTTGCAGCTCAGGTCCAGAGACTGAGCGAGCGGAGCCGCGGATGCCAGGGGCAGGGTGGGCCACAGCTACGCTCCTAACTGTAAACACGCACCTGGTTCCTACCTCGTCTCCCGGGTTTGCCAGGTTGTGTGCGTCTTCTCGCAAGGGATGGGGACCAGATTCCAGATCTCGTCGTCGGTAGAAACGGTGGGAGACTAGCGGGGACACAATCCGAGGCACCCTAGAGCCCGAGGCCCTCGTCGCGTTCCAGTCTGTCAACAGAGGATTCAGGTTCACCGGCCACTTCAAATGCCCCGCCAGTCGGGGACCAATCACGACCAGCGTTTTCCTGCGGTTGAGTCCAATCATAGGCCGCTATGTCTCGCGGCCAAAGAGAGGTACTTGAAGCTGCGGCCCGTCCATCTTTCTTAAAGGCAAGAGACTCCGTCTTCCACTTCCCAGACGGTCCGCATCCCCCACTAAAGAAAGCGCCCGACGCGGCCATTGTGTTTAGGGGCAAGTGGGACAATGAGGCCAGAGAAGCCAGAGAGCGCCATATTTGATATGCCCAAGTAGTGGCGCTCTTACAAGCAACCAGTGACAATGAAGCCAGGTTGTCGCCATATTTTCTGAAGGCACCTTCCGGGTCCCTTAACCCGGGTGTCTATGTCCAAGCGGCCATGAAGTGAATAAACACTAAGGAGTTTCGTTTGTCCCTATCAGAATCCCCGAATCCCTAGCTGCTCGTCCCTGCTACTTCGGTTCCCTCGACTGCATTCGGACGCCAAGGCTGGGCGGGGCCCGGGCCTGGCAACCCTTCCTGTGGACGACGAAAGCTGAGGCCGGGAGCGGGGAGGCGGTGGTCCCAGGGACCAGGCGGCCGCTGCTCGCGGCTGGAAGGCCCCATGGCGCCACCCCCAGCCCCACTTCTGGCGCCGAGACCCGGGGAGACCGGGCCTGGTTGCAGGAAGCCTGGGGCCGTGAGATTCGCGGACGTGGCCGTGTACTTCTCTCCGGAGGAGTGGGGGTGTCTGCGGCCCGCGCAGAGGGCCCTTTACCGGGACGTGATGCGGGAGACCTACGGCCACCTGGGCGCACTCGGTGAGGCCCCGGGTCAGAACCCCTGTCCTCCTTTACCGGGGTTCACAGGGGAGCTGATAGGGAGTGAAGGACCGAGAGGATTGTGAGCCCTAATCCCGCACTATTCCACGAACAGCAACCGCCACCTGCCATTCCCAAGGCTTCAGGTACCCCCTCGGGAGTGTTTTCATCCCACATCCGCTTCATTCAGGCAGGAGCACTGCACCGGGTCCGGACTGAGTATGAATTCTGAGGAGGTGCCCTCACCCAGGCAGGGGGATGCCATCTTCCCAGGATAGCCTCTCAGGCCAGCACTGTGATCCCTGTTCTCTCCCAGGATTCCCGGGCCCCAAACCAGCCCTCATCTCTTGGATGGAACAGGAGAGCGAGGCTTGGAGCCCCGCCGCCCAGGATCCTGAGGAGGGGGAGAGCCTGGGAGGAGCTCGGAGAGGTGAGGGATTGCCCCAGGTCTTCCCCCACTGGGTTCTCACAGCTTCCTGTCTACCAAAGTTTTCTTTGAGGCCCTCACTTCCAGCATCAGCATCCTTAAAGAAATCAAAGAGCCAACCTGTGTTGGATACTAGAGGAGTAAAGAAGGCAGACCTGTTTCAAAGTTTTCAAAACGTGGGACAGTAGTCAAATTGAGACCAGAGTGGGAGATCCTTAGGTCTCTAGGTCCCTCTCATTCTCCCTCTTTCAGGAAGAACTAACCCCCCTACGAGTGGAAGTGCTTTCAGCTCTGCCTTTCACAATCCTCCAGCCAGGCAAAGTCCTACCAGAGAAAATGCGCAGTGATTGACAGTTTGGCTGTCCTCCCCTCACCACCCTCTGCGGGAGTGATCTTGAGCAACTGTCTCCTCATCTGTAAAGCAGTCGTACCCTACAAACAGTGGAGAAGCTACACTACTAATAGCTACTGCTTACTGAGAATTTACTCAGTGCTTAATATACATCTACTCTGCTAATCCTCCCAACGACCCTGTGAAGTCAGATAACCATTATTATTCCCATTGGACACATAAGGAACCAAGGCCCAGCTAAGTCACACTTAAGAGATTTGAATGCTGTTCACCTTCCTCCAGAGTCTGGGTGTTAAACACTGGGCAGGACTTTTCTGGCACTACCTTAAGTAAAAAGCACCCCATAACCTGAGACAGTCTGTGCAAAAGTATTTTAAAATGTAACTTAATTCCTGTTTCCCAGGAGACACCCCAAACAAGAAGGAAAAGGAACCCAAGGAAGGGCCAAGAGCTGAAGGACCTAGAAAGACCCCGGGAAAGGAGCAGCCTGAGGAGCAGGTTAAACACAACCCTGAGTGTTCTGTCAGCGGGGCTTCGGCAAGAGCACAGCCACCCACAAAAGCTGCCTGGGACCAGATAGGAGGCGCGCAGCCCACTGTCTCCATGCCTAGCATGGATACCCAGGCCAGCCAGCGGCGACACGTGTGTGCAGACTGCGGCCGCCGCTTCACCTACCCCTCGCTGCTGGTCAGTCACCGGCGCATGCACTCCGGTGAGCGACCCTTCCCCTGTCCCGAGTGCGGCATGCGCTTCAAGAGGAAGTTCGCTGTGGAAGCGCACCAATGGATCCACCGCTCCTGCTCTGGGGGGCGGCGGGGCCGGAGGCCTGGGATCCGGGCTGTGCCTCGGGCCCCAGTCCGAGGTGACCGGGACCCACCTGTGCTGTTCCGGCACTACCCGGACATCTTTGAGGAGTGCGGCTGAGCGGCTCAACGCGCTGGAGTTGAGCCTGACCTTGGCGCTAAGGACGGACTGACTGAGCCCTCAGGTAGGCTCCTGAGTCAGGGACCTGGGGACTGAAATGCTTCCCTTGAGCTTTCCGCAAGGATCCCTCAAGTTTCCAACTTGTAAAAAGAGAAGTGCCTGTAAAGATTCCAATAGATTAAACTTGCTGCCCTCTCCCCAGTCTTTTGTAAAAAAAAATGAAGAGAGTGAGACACTGGACTTTTCTCAAGTGTTATCTCAGTAGCAGGTGCAACAGAGATCTTTCCATCGACTCAGGAAACATCCATTTCTCCCTAATCTACTTCAGAGGCAAATGCTGGGGGACTAAGGCTTGGGGAGGGGGCCCAGATGGAGGATGTGGTCAAGCCCTGGCTACTGTCACCAGCAGGCAGCCCATGGTGTATGGGGTGGGTGGGAAGAGTACAGAGGCACACGGCAAAGTCTAGTCTCTGCAGCTGGTCTCCAGGCACAGCTGGTGGGTCGCATGCCCTCCCTGAGCCTCAGTTCCCTCATCTGTAAAATGAGGATTAATAATATCTACCTCAAAGGGTTACTGTGAAGACTGAAATTTTAACAAGATAATATGTATGACATAGTAAATGTGCAATAAACATTTGTTGAAAGAATGACTTATTGTTGTCACCGTACACTTTAGAGGGTCAGGAGGCAGGATGTGGCTGTCAATTACCATGTTTTGCAGATAAGTAAACTGAAGCTCAGAGATGAAGTGACACTCTCCAAGTTTCCCTGTTATATGGCTGCAAGGCTGGAAACCGACACAAAGCCCAGATATCTCTACCGCTTCCTCTGAGAAGTCAGATCTGGGCAGAAACACAGGAGGAGCTCAGGATGCAGGACCCATCCCAGCCTGGGTCGGGGAGTCCAAGTGGGAAATGGAGACCCCGTCTTCACTCAGCGCAGGCAGCATTGTCACTGTGTGTTGAGTGCCTTCTGTTGAAGGGACTGTGCCAGGTGATAAGAATTCTGAGATGAGGAAAGCTGACCCCATTCATTTATTCATTCATTCAGCAAACCCCATCTGCAATAAACATTTGTGGAAGAGTGACTTACTGTTAACGTTGTACGCTTTAGAAAGAGCAAAGAGTCCTGCTCAGGAGGCAGGGTATCATGATCACGTTTTGCGGACCTCTGCGGGTTTTTGTGCTGAGCTCTGTGGACACAGCTGACTCAGGTCTCACATTCCATGTGGGAAACGAGTGATTGGCCCTGTGACAGAGGAAGCACAGAGACGCCACCTAACCTGGCCTGGTGGGTGATATGGCAGGAAGCGCTGCTTGGAGAAGGCCGAGGTGGGGGATCGTTTGAGCTCAGGAGTTTGAGACCAGCCTGAGCAAGAGTGAAACCCCATGTCTACTAAAAATGGAAAGAAATTAGCTGGACAACTAAAAATATATAGAAAAATTTAGCCGGGCTCAGTGGCGCATGCCTGTAGTCCCAGCTACTCGGGAGGCTGAGGCAGGAGGATCGCTGGAGCCCAGGAGTTTGAGGTTGCTGTGAGCTAGGCTGACGCCACCTAGCCCAGGCAACAGAATGAGACTCTGACTCAAAAAAAAAAAAAAAAAAAAGAATGGCAGACAGATGCTGCTGAGACAAGGGCATCAAATCTGGTGCCATGGGTCTCAGAAGAGGAGCTTGAGGTTTATCCTGTAGGCATTGAGGAGCCATAGAAAATTCTTGAGCATGAGCAGGGCTATTTGATAGGTATTGTCAGAAGATATTTTTGCAAAGCAGTGTGGAGTGTGACCTGTGGGAGGAGACTAGACACTAGAGATCTATGGGGCATCTGTTCCCAGGTGGAGGTCATCAAGAACTGGGACCCAGGGTGGTGACCTTGGAATTAGGAGGAAGGGTACTCATGAGAGGCTTCTGCCGTTGAATCTGCATGGCTCAGTGACTGACAATGCAAGCTGTGAGCAAGTAAGCCCCAGAGGTTTCAGACATGAAGAGCTGGAGAGAGAAGGCACTGGCAGGGAGAGAGGAGAACCAGGCTCTGTGTGTCAAGCATGGAGTTGCCTGGATCGGCACTAGTGCCGTATTCTAGGTGCTGTTCTGTGTGCCAGGATATAGCAGGAAAAACAGACATGGGAACTCTCTTGGAGCTTACCTTCTAGTGGGGAGAGACAAGGGCTAAACCAGAGCATGAATAAAGCAAGCTCCTGTAATTGCAAATAATAAGCATCAGAGAGGAGCTAAAACAGAGCAATGTGCTGAGACATTGCAGATGGATGCTTAGGCTAGGCCATGGTGAGGAGGAGACATTTGAGCTGAGATCCAAATGACAAGGGGCCAGGGAGAAACGGGGTGGGGGGTGTGGGAGTGGGGAGTGCAGGTTTCAGAGGCTGGGGAGGTTGGGGCCGGGGGAGCGTAGCAGATAGAGGTGTTTCCAAACATAGGGAACAGCAGGTGGGATGCTCTGAGCCAGGGAGGAGTACAGGGTGAGGTGCAGGAAGGACACTGGCTGGACTGCTGCATTTGGGTGAAGACTGACAGACGGGCTTGGAGAGTGGAGGGGCAGGCCACAGAGGCTTTGGCTTGTCATGATGTGAAGTTTGGATTGGATTCTCAATATATTGGGAAGCCACTGGGTTGTTTTTGTCTTTGTTTTGTGGTAAAATACATATAATGTAAAATTTACCATTTAAACCATTTTTAAGTATACAGTTCTGTGGTGTTAAGTATATTCACATTGTCCTGCAACCATCAATCATCTCCAGAGCTTTTTTTTTAGTTTTTTCATTTTTAGTGATGGGGTCTTGCCATATTGTCCAGGCTAGAGCTCAGCAGCTACTCACAGGCTCAACTGCAGCTCACTGCAGCCTTGTACTCCTGAGCTGAAGGAATCCTCCTGCCTTAACCCCCCAAGTAGCTGGGACTACATGTACATGCCACTGCACCCAGCTCCCAGAATTTTTTTATTTTCCCCAACTGAAATTCTGCACCCAGGAAACACTAACTACCTATTCCTCCCTTTCCCCAGCCCCCAGCAACCACCATTCAGAGTAGTCTACTACTTAGAGTAGTTGACCACTCTAGGGACCTCATGTAAACTTTACTACCTTAAGCAGTGTAAAGGTGATCTGATTTGCATTAAAAAAATAGGCTGGGTGCGGTGGCTCACGCCTGTAATCCTAGCTCTCTGGGAGGCCGAGGCGGGCGGATTGCTCGAGGTCAGGAGTTCGAAAAAAAATAAACCCACTCTGGCTGCTGTGAGAATGGACTGCAGTGGGGCAAGTAGAGAAAGAGTGGCAGAAGAGCAGAGGTAAATGCCGGAAGTTGAACAGGCAGGGCCCGTTCTGTTCATTGGCTGAGGGCATCAGAGGAGCCTAGGAGGATAGCTGGGTTTTTGTCTGAGTGAGGAGGATGATGGGGGAGCCAGTTCTGGGGTGATGGCATTTAGAGTTGAAGGGAGCTCTTGGAGCTAATTCCATGTTTTAAGCAGGCTTTGGGAAGCACTGGATGAACAGGCTTCTTTATCGAAGACTGCCCAGCACCTTAATGCACTAAAAAGGACTCTCCAAGGGGCTTAAATCAAGGGCATGAGCAAGAGCAGCCCTCCAGTAAGACCTGGTACAGGGGGCCTTTTGTGATGCTTCTGTCACCCTCCTTCCTGGGATATTTCCCATACCTCCTCAATACCCGAATAACCCGAATAACCACCCCCCATTACATGACCTCTAAACATAACCTTCTTATTTATTTTGCAATACTTATCATATCCCATCATCTAAATTTTTTATCTCTACATTTATAAGACAGTGTGGAATGGAATTGCATACATGGCCATAAGCAGCTCTTCTAACCACCTGTATCTCTGCTTCTTGTACTACCCCATGTTAAAACTCCATCTTGGTAACATGGCCGAAAACCCCACTTCTCTCTAATTGCTGAAATTTTGGCTTCAATAATTTGAGGCATTCCACCACGGCTTCTGGAGTCAGACTGCCTGGGTTTGAATCCTGGTAACTTACTAGCTGTGTGGCCCGGAGCAAGGTAACGTCTCTGGGCCTTAGCTTCCTGATCCATAGGAGAATCTATCTCTGAAGTTTTGTGTGGGTTAAATGAGTTAATAGGCCAGAGCACTTAAAACAGAGTCAAACTACCTAGGAAGTGATCCATCAAGGTAAACTAATACTCATCTTTTTAGTCATGTCACAGCATCGACTGCAGTTCTTGTATGGTTTCAAGAGCTTGGGATTGGGAAATCTGAAGCATAAAGTGGAGCATTAACACAAAGAGTCCTGTCATCTAGTAACACAGGAAATTTTTTTATACAATCATAACTTATTTTTACTTCTTGAGACAGGGTATCGCTCTGTTGCCCCCGGTAGAGTCTAGTGGTGTCATCATAGCTCACTGCAGCCTCAAACTCCTGGGCTCAAGAGATCCTCCTGCCTCAGCCTCCCAAATATCAGGCTAGCTTTTGTGTTTTTTGTAGAGACAGGGTCTTGCTCTGTCACCTGGGCTGGAGTGCAGTGGTGTCATCATAGCTCACTGCAACCTCAAATTCCTGGGCTCAAGCAATTCTCTTGCCACAGTCTCCCAGGTAGCTAGGACTACAGGCGCGCACCGCACGCATGGTTAATTTTTCTATTTTTTTGTGTAGATGGGGGTCTCCCTCTTGCTTAGGCTGGTCTCGAACTCCCGGCCTCAGGCGATCCTCCCACATCAGCCTCTCACAGTGCTAAGATTACAGCCTTGAGCTGCCATGCCTGGCTAACTTTTTTTTTTTTTAATTTTTAAATCATAACTTAATAAATTAAAAATCGAGTTCGCTTTCACGTGGTCGGCAGGGGTCAGCAAATTCGAAGTGTTCACATTGCTTTTCTGGAACAGGCCTGGAGGGGGCGCTGCGAGGCAGTGGAAAAGGCTTGCGTGTTGGACTCTGAAGACCTGGACTCACTGACCGGCTGTCCGACCTTGGGTAACGAATGGGCTTCGGTTCTCTCTTCTGCAAAATGACTGCGAACTCTAAGTAACTGAACTCTGAGGCACAGGGTCCTGTGTTAAAGAGCTCGTGAGTGTGTGGAAATACCATAGTTGGCTAGACTATCTCTGGAAGAATAGTTAAGAAACTGTTAATAGAGGAATAAGGTGGGAGGAGACGTCACTAAATATTCTTCCATACCTTGTAAATGAAAAAAAATTGTTTTGATAAATGAACGAGTTTGCCAAAATTA